TTCACACCCAGTGTCCGGACACCTGCTTCACACCCAGTGTCCGAACACCTGCTTCACACCCAGTGTCCGGACACCTGCCTCACACCCAGTGTCCGGACACCTGCCTCACACCCAGTGTCCGGACACCTGCCTCACACCCAGTTTCCGGACACCTGCTTCACACCCAGTGTCCGGACACCAGCCTCACACCCAGTGTCCGAACACCTGCTTCACACCCAGTGTCCGAACACCTGCTTCACACCCAGTGTCCGGACACCTGCTTCACACCCAGTGTCCGAACACCTGCTTCACACCCAGTGTCCGAACACCTGCTTCACACCCAGTGTCCGGACACCTGCTTCACACCCAGTGTCCGAACACCTGCTTCACACCCAGTGTCCGGACACCGGCCTCACACCCAGTGTCCGGACACCTGCCTCACACCCAGTGTCCGGACACCTGCCTCACACCCAGTGTCCGGACATCTGCCTCACACCCAGTGCCCGGACACCTGCCTCACACCCAGTGTCCGGACACCTGCCTCACACCCAGTGTCCGGACACCTGCTTCACACCCAGTGTCCGGACACCTGCCTCACACCCAGTGTCCGGACACCTGCTTCACACCCAGTGTCCGGACACCTGCTTCACACCCAGTGTCCGAACACCTGCCTCACACCCAGTGTCCGGACACCTGCTTCACACCCAGTGTCCGGACACCTGCCTCACACCCAGTGTCCGGACACCTGCCTCACACCCAGTGTCCGGACACCTGCTTCACATCCAGTGTCCGGACACCTGCCTCACACCCAGTGTCCGGACACCTGCCTCACACCCAGTGTCCGGACACCTGCTTCACACCCAGTGTCCGGACACCTGCCTCACACCCAGTGTCCGGACACCTGCCTCACACCCAGTGTCCGGACACCTGCTTCACACCCAGTGTCCGGACACCTGCCTCACACCCAGTGTCCGGACACCTGCTTCACACCCAGTGTCCGGACACCTGCTTCACACCCAGTGTCCGGACACCTGCCTCACACCCAGTGTCCGGACACCTGCTTCACACCCAGTGTCCGGACACCTGCTTCACACCCAGTGTCCGAACACCTGCTTCACACCCAGTGTCCGGACACCTGCTTCACATCCAGTGTCCGGACACCTGCCTCACACCCAGTGTCCGGACACCTGCCTCACACCCAGTGTCCGGACACCTGCTTCACACCCAGTGTCCGGACACCTGCCTCACACCCAGTGTCCGGACACCTGCTTCACACCCAGTGTCCGAACACCTGCTTCACACCCAGTGTCCGGACACCTGCCTCACACCCAGTGTCTGGACACCTGCCTCACACCCAGTGTCCGGACACCTGCCTCACACCCAGTGTCCGGACATCTGCCTCACACCCAGTGTCCGGACACCTGCCTCACACCCAGTGTCCGGACACCTGCTTCACACCCAGTGTCCGAACACCTGCTTCACACCCAGTGTCCGGACACCTGCTTCACATCCAGTGTCCGGACACCTGCCTCACACCCAGTGTCCGGACACCTGCTTCACACCCAGTGTCCGAACACCTGCTTCACACCCAGTGTCCGGACACCTGCTTCACATCCAGTGTCCGGACACCTGCCTCACACCCAGTGTCCGGACACCTGCCTCACACCCAGTGTCCGGACACCTGCTTCACACCCAGTGTCCGGACACCTGCCTCACACCCAGTGTCCGGACACCTGCCTCACACCCAGTGTCCGGACACCTGCTTCACACCAAGTGTCCGGACACCTGCTTCACACCCAGTGTCCGGACACCTGCCTCACACCCAGTGTCCGGACACCTGCCTCACACCCAGTGTCCGGACACCTGCTTCACACCCAGTGTCCAGACACCTGCCTCACACCCAGTGTCCGGACACCTGCTTCACACCCAGTGTCCGGACACCTGCTTCACACCCAGTGTCCGGACACCTGCCTCACACCCAGTGTCCGGACACCTGCCTCACATCCAGTGTCCTGGAGTACGTCGTAGTTCTCCAGCCCACCAGTGGTTCACCAGCCCACCAGTGGTTCACCAGCCCACCAGTGGTTCACCAGCCCACCAGTGGTTCACCAGCCCACTGGTTCACCAGCCCACTGGTTCACCAGCCCACTGGTTCACCAGCCCACCATTGGTTCACCAGCCCACTGGTTCACCAGCCCATTGGTTCACCAGCCCACTGGTTCACCAGCCCATTGGTTCACCAGCCCACTGGTTCACCAGCCCATTGGTTCACCAGCCCAGCAATAGTTCACCAGCCCACCAGTGGTACACCAGCCCACCAGTGGTTCACCAGCCCACCAGTGGTTCACCAGCCCACCAGTGGTTCACCAGCCCACCAGTGGTACACCAGCCCACCAGTGGTTCACCAGCCCACCAGTGGTTCACCAGCCCACCAGTGGTTCACCAGCCCACCAGTGGTTCACCAGCCCACCAGTGGTTCACCAGCCCACCAGTGGTTCACCAGCCCACCAGTGGTTCACCAGCCCACCAGTGGTTCACCAGCCCACCAGTGGTTCACTAGCCCACCAATGGTTTTCCAACGTCAAGAAAACGGTCAATTTAAGTGTCCTCTCCTAACCTAACCTAACCTAACCTAACCTATCCCAGGACTCAAAACAGAAAACGGAACCATACGTCACTTTCGCGAGTCACCTCCGTTTACGACAGTTTTGTAGCTAATGTGACGCATACGATCTAAACGCGGCGTTGTTTATAAGAGGACATGTTGGGTTGCCAGCCATAGCAATGTCTCCGAGTTTCATTACATTCTTTAACAAATTCTGCAATTGGTTTTATGTGTCTCATTGTATTACTGTTGCAAGTGGTTGTGACAATGTCTGTAGCCAGCATGCTAAAAGTGTCAAATGATTTTAATATATAAAAAGTCTTCAAGTGTGTCATGAGCAACTTACAATCTATTAAAATGCATAAGATTTCATTGTTTTAAAATTAAGTTTTATTTTTTATAATAACTGTCCTTAATATAATCAGTTTAATTATATGTTTTTTCACTGCAACAGAGAATCTTGGAAAGGATTTTCCTTGATAAAGATTTTCTCCTTATCTGCCTTGTCCTCTTATGCATGAGTGCATGATCTTGATGTCTAACCGCATGTCGACGCACAGAACGCTCACTCTAAGAGGTCATTTAGTCGGAAGGTCAGTCGTAGGCTCAGACCTGGGAGTACTCACGGTGATCACAACAATATAGTCGCCTTAGCAGGTGTAGTAGATACGTGATAACCAACTCTATGAAGGGTTTAATATGCGTGTGTACACTAGGGGTGATCGGTTATATCCCAGCAGACACATTATGTTACCACAATGTTATAGTCTTGAAACTTTTACATTTTAACAATGTGATAACATTTAAAAACGTTATAGATTCGTTGTGTTTTTTGTGTTTAGTTACTACATTAGTGTTCATTGGGAGGGAACACCCATAACATTGTCCCGGACAGGAAGCCTCTTTAGGTGTTCCAAGGACACCAGGATCCAACCTTCCCCCCAGGAGGCTGCTCATAGCTATTGCCTAGCTCCTAGGTATGTATTTACTGCTAAATAAACAGCGGCATTACGTGTAATGAAACGTGCACGCACACACACACACACAACTCCTCCTACATGGGAATCGAACCTGAGACCATTCGGTTGTGGGATGACGTTGGTGAGAAACACATCGGTGTGCGTGTAGTGGTAGGGTGTGTTAGGATTAAGAGGAACAGTGTGTCAGTGTCACGTGTTCACTACTAGCAAACATGCAACTCAACAATGGCATGTTATATTGCCACAATATTGTACAAATGCTAATCTATTGTTCAGTCCCAGCAAACACACAACGTAGCAATGGTATGTTATGTTGGTACAGTACTGTATCAATGGTATGTTATGTTGGTACAATACTGTGTCAATGGTATGTTATGTTGGTACAGTACTGTATCAATGGTATGTTATGTTGGTACAGTACTGTGTCAATGGTATGTTATGTTGGTACAATACTGTATCAATGGTATGTTATGTTGGTACAATACTGTATCAATGGTATGTTATGTTGGTACAGTACTGTGTCAATGGTATGTTATGTTGGTACAATACTGTATCAATGGTATGTTATGTTGGTACAATACTGTATCAATGGTATGTTATGTTGGTACAATACTGTATCAATGGTATGTTATGTTGGTACAATACTGTATCAATGGTATGTTATGTTGGTACAATACTGTATCAATGTAAAATGAGTTGCTGAGTCACATCAAGAACACAACATAACAATAGTATGTCATGTTGCTACAATATTGTGTCAATTTAAATAAGAAAGTTGTGGCTAGACTGTCTCTGTGTTTATTCGGGTGAGAGGAAGTGCATGTGCTTGAGGGATGGTAGTGTGGACGAGTGGGAAAGAGCGTGTAGTGTATTCAAGTTCTAAACTGCTGGAAAAGATTGAGTACTTACCTCCCTCCAAGACAGCAAAGTGTTGGACAAAGATTTATAAATTATAAAGGGGGTTTATAGTGTTTTAACACTGCTGTTTTGCTCAGGAATAAATAAATGAATAAAAAGTAGCATGTAGAGAAACTGCCACTAATGAATACATCACAAATTGGTGTAGCGAGTTACATGCAACCACCACCCCTAATGTTAACTCTTGTCAGCAGTTAAGCCAGATTCAGTGAGTAGACGTAAGAAGAGCTCAAACCTGACAGTCATAGTAGCCCAGTCCTGGTGCCACTGCAACTACACTTAGTCTTAAAATGTTGTAGTATATGTCCCAGCCAAGATCTCTTTTCCGTCACCAGGTCCGTAAGAGTTGAGCCAGGGTAATATGGCCCAGGGTGCCGGATACTTAAGACGACCATTCATGTGTGTGTGTGTGTACATGCATGCATGCATGCTTGTGTGTGTGTAAGTGCATGCTTGTGTGTGTGCGTTGGGTTGCGGGGCAGAGAGCGCTAACAATCCTGACCCCCACGTCTCTCCAGGCTGCTCCCGCCAAGAAGAAGTCCCCCAAGAAGAAGCGGGCGTGGCCGTGGGCGCTGCTGGGGCTGCGGGGTGGTGGGCGGGGGGCGTCTAAGGTACCCCAGGGGACTGCAGCCCCTCCTCCAGGGTCCTCAAGGGCCTCCTCCCGGGCCTCCTCCCGCAGCTCCCACCGCCCTCGACGACCCAGTGTGAGGGCCTCCAAGATACGCCGTGATGTGAGTCAGTCTCTCTCTCTTTACCCACCCTTTTCTTCACTTGCTGTTGTGCCCAACCTATACCCCTAAAGCTCATCTTACCACCAACATACACACAATACAGCTGCACATTCAGAGTGGCAACACTACACCCACCACAACACCACAACACTACACCCACCACAACACCACAACACCACAACACCACAACACCACAACACCACCATGATGACGTCCACATAACACTGGCTGCTCTACAGTTGTTTCTCTCACAACTTTGATACTCTTTTTCCCACCCAGTTATTTCCCAGACATTGAGAGTTGTTAAGCCATTTATCACTCTGTATTTACCATCACTATTATTACCTTTAGTCACGATAAGAACTAATTTTCTTATGTATCACATTATTGACCGAATTGTTCGTTAGAATTATGAGCATTGACTTTGCATCTCTCTCTGGACGGTCTTGGCAGATCTTTCTTTCTGTTTTCTGCAATACTGATGCCTATATTTGTTTGCTTATTAAACCGAGTTATGATGATTTTAGTTAGGATGGTTGTGTTGTTGGTGAAGTTGTGGCAGGAGGAGGAGGTTATAGCACGTGTTTGGGGTGTTCTGTGGTGAGACTAACAGGTGAAGGTGGACTAACTTGATGTAGGAGCATGTCTGGGTGTCAGGTGTTTGTGTGAAGGCTGGAGTATAGTTTGATGAAGATTGTTTTCTGTGTTGCAGGGCCAGTCTGCGTGGCTCACAAAGGAACGTCAACAGCAGCGGGAACAGCAGCAACAGCTGGAGCAGCAACAGGGAAGGGAGAAGGATGTCTCGCCGCCGCCACCACCATGGCAGACGTCCACACTAAACCGCGCTGAGCTCCGGGCCAGGAAGGGTGCCGCCCCCTCAGGAGAAGATCGTGGTTACTCCACTGTCCAGAGACCTACCACGAGAAAATTTTCAGCGGAATCGTCAGCGTCGTCAGGCGGGGCACCGCCACCAGCGCCTTCTCAGGTGACTCGTACTACCAGCTTCAAGCATCGTTATTTTGGTGACACTGATATCGAAAGTAACCACGGAGGTGTGAGCGCAGTTGGTGACTACCGCAGCTTGCCTAACCGTTCTTCTAGGTCGACCCACAAGAATGCAGGGAGGGGCCGCAGAACAGCAAGTGGACCCAGGGGCATGTCTCCGCCAGTGGTGGGCTCAGCAGGCAGCTCCCTGCAGAGTAGTGAGAGTGAGGTGGATAGTCATGGGGGATCACATGCCTCACGTGCCTCACGCGCTTCACACGTGTCGACAGGGTCCAATAGATCAGTGTACCTGCATGCCACCGCCATCGCTGATATTCCTGTACGCCGTGGCCCCGATGATGCCCCCAGCGAGCGTAGTATTAGCCGCCAGACCAAGAAGGTGTCGCGTTCATTCTCCTTACTTGCTCCCTGGAAGCCTCGACACTACCGGGAAAAGTTTGAGGTTGAATATGACAACAGAGAGGTACGCGAAGCACGTGGTCCTGACCCACACGCCAGCAAGGGCGCCTTGCCTCCCAGACCCCCACGGCGACCTCCACATGACCCTAATGACAAGAAGGTCAACCGGTCGCAGAGTGTCTACAAAGACTCACGCCTCGCCACCTGGCTCAGGCGTCGAAGGAACAAGGAGGCCAAAGGTATCTGATACCGGCAACAGCAGAAGTCTTGGTGGGTGGAGCGGCAACCTCTGCAACACTCCATACACGCACACAGACACACTTGCACATAAGCACACAAACACACCTAGGCTTAACTTAGCTTGCTTCACAGTCAAAACAGCCTTTCTCCCTCTCTGCCTCTCTCTCTCTCGCTCTTCCTTCTCCCTCCTTCCCTACATCATGTTCCACATTAATAATGTTAAGCTTCATTAACACAGTTATCAGTTGCCACTGTTTGTAAATATGTCGATAACAAGCTATAACAATCTGTCCTGACTTGTAATTGATCAAGTTACATCTCAGGATCCAATACTAGAAGAAGGTAAGGTTAGGTTTGCACAAGTGACAGATATCAGTATTTTTGAAGTCGGACCCCCACAAAACAAAAAATAGATTATATTTTAATTTACATTTTCTGAGAAGACTCGGAACTGCTGGTAATGTCAGACCTCCAGGTGAAAGAGGGATTAGTCAAGCGTAGCAACACAGATTCCCTTGAGGAATGTCATGGAGTTTGCTTGAGAGAGATGAATGAATTCCTGACGCTTGCTCAGGAACCATGTGTTGGTGCATTGTGTATTAGTGTGTGTGTGTGCGCGCGTGTGTTGTCCCGATAATGACGAAACTTCTTAAGCTCTTCGTGTACACTTTTTATTCTGCCACTTTTCTCTGTATTGCGTGCATGTGTGTGTGTGTGTGCATGTGTTTTGTTCGCTCCTCGCCTTGATATACACACAATTATTCTGAAGGTCCCAGCGCGTCTGCTCTGCTACCTTTCCATTCAAGAGGATAAGGTTAGAGAAATCATTTCACCTTTTCGTTATCAAGCTCATGGAATTGGTAAACAAGAGATTTTCTGGGTGAAGATTGTAGACCCAAGCTTCCTGCACCTGCAGTTGAAGTCTTGTGGTGATAGAGTTGTAAACATCCTCACATTACCGAGATGAAAACTCTCCTGCAACAGGTAAAATACAGTTCAGGACTGTTCAAAGACGGCATATGGCGATTGGAGCAGTGTAAAGGTTAAGTGAACATGAACAGCTTAGTGTGATAAGATTGCCGCTTAAATGCCGCCTTAATCAACAGTGGTTTTGACATGCATGTCGGTGGAGCATAGTTTAAGACTTGTGTTGATGACATAGAAAATTTGCAGAAAAAACGTGAATTGCAAATAGTTTACTTTTAAATAATTATTGTATTAAAATTTTTAGACAGACCAAAAAAAGAATTTATTTGGTCATAAAACTTGAAACAATTGCTAAAATTAAAAAAGCTTACTATATAGTGAACTCAAAAGGAAATTTCTCTTGAAAATTCTAAACAAGAATGAGCAGTGTGTAGACCAGAACAAGCGGTGACTACACCAAAATTAGTTGTATTTGCAGAGGAGTGATGTTTACATGGTGCTGAAAACTGAACCCAGAATTTCATGACCTGAAAATTCATTTGCATTTTTTTAATTGTTACTTTTACCATGATATAAGTCAAGCATTTTATTATTACGTTTTCTTTGCCACAGATGTCCCACGCTTTTGTTTTGTGAGTTAAGGAATATTGGCGGGCTATTGTGGACATGGGTAGTTCACTATTACTGCATAACTACAATACAGATGCAGTGTTATAACTTCTTCATATATTGTTTCCTATTAATACACCCAATGCTGAGGGTCATTAAGGTGACGTCGGAATAAAGGGGTTACAAAGCAGCCATCAAAATAACTACAATGCGGAATTTGTGCAGATGGAACGGGCGAGCTAATTACATATACATGTAATGGTGAGTTGTGAGGATGGGACGGGTGCAGGAATGTGGAGTTGTGAGGATGGGACGGGTGCAGGAATGTGGAGTTGTGAGGATGGGACGGGTGCAGGAATGTGGAGTTGTGAGGATGGGACGGGTGCAGGAATGTGGAGTTGTGAGGATGGGACGGGTGCAGGAATGTGGAGTTGTGAGGATGGGACGGGTGCAGGAATGTGGAGTTGTGAGGATGGGACGGGTGCAGGAATGTGGAGTTGTGAGGATGGGACGGGTGCAGGAATGTGGAGTTGTGAGGATGGGACGGGTGCAGGAATGTGGAGTTGTGAGGATGGGACGGGTGCAGGAATGTGGAGTTGTGAGGATGGGACGGGTGCAGGAATGTGGAGTTGTGAGGATGGGACGGGTGTAGGAATGTGGAGTTGTGAGGATGGGACGGGTGTAGGAATGTGGAGTTGTGAGGATGGGACGGGTGCAGGAATGTGGAGTTGTGAGGATGGGACGGGTGCAGGAATGTGGAGTTGTGAGGATGGGACGGGTGCAGGAATGTGGAGTTGTGAGGATGGGACGGGTGCAGGAATGTGGAGTTGTGAGGATGGGACGGGTGCAGGAATGTGGAGTTGTGAGGATGGGACGGGTGTAGGAATGTGGAGTTGTGAGGATGGGACGGGTGTAGGAATGTGGAGTTGTGAGGATGGGACGGGTGTAGGAATGTGGAGTTGTGAGAATAATTAAGAAGTTAAAGCCATTGAGAGAGCGGTTACTTAGCAAGATTTTGCATAAATATTTTATTATATTTTTTATACGTGGGTTGTGGAACTATTATTAAGAGTATTTTATATGACCCGAGAAATTTGTTTTCTAAAGAGAAGGGCATAGGATTTTTTTATATAGTATGTGTACTACCGTTCTTATAATAAAATTATTATTTTGGTTTCAATGAAGATTTTATTACAATTTCAAAATATAGTTTATTAAAGTTTAGATTTTTTTGTTTGTGTGTGGTGTATAGAGTTTAGTTATGTGAGCTGTAAAGATAATAACAATTATTTTATTAAAATATAATTTTTACAGTTTTATACAATTTTATAAAGTGCATTTTCCTTTTAAAGAGTCCAATATGGCAACACTAACTGTTGCCAAATTGTGCCATTTATTTTAGTTTAAATGGTTCATTTAATATATTATAAAAACAGAAACTTGAAAATAAAATAAACTTGAAACTCCTGTCTGTCAGTTTTTTAAGAAAATCTAACATAGACAAAAACAAAATATAATAAAATAAATGCCACAGTCTGTTCGTCAGTCGGTGTTGCCAACAGTCTGTTCGTCAGTCGGTGTTGCCAACAGTCTGTTCGTCAGTCGGTGTTGCCAACAGTCTGTTCGTCAGTCGGTGTTGCCAACAATGGATACTGACAACGGTCCACAATTCCTAATGTTTTGTATAGATTATGAGACTATATAGTTTATACTGAAGGAATGTATAGTTTATACTGAAGGAATGTGTTTTGTGAATCTATAGTCAAGTTTTAATGTGTGAAGGTTTAGTCGTTTTATACATGTTGCCATAATTGTTTCTAGAGAGAATAACAACATATACATGTTGCCATTTGTGTTAGTATGCATTCGTGTATTAATACACCTTGGTTCAGCTAAGCATAACCTGATAATCAATACATTAAGTGAATCCTGCTCTTGTCAGTGTAATCGAGTCTGACTTGAATTGTTATCCATTCATGCATGGAATGGATGGATTACATCCATCCATTTGAGTCAGAATGGATTGATTACATCCATGCAACTCGAGTCAGAATGCAGTGTAATCCAATCTGACTCGAGTTGCCTCGAGTGAGAATGCATGTATGTATGTGGTCAGTGTATCGGGGCAGTCTCCCACATATTCAACCTGTCCTCTTACATATTATGTCTGAATTTGGCCGTTTGCCCGTATGGCCGAAAATGGACGTAATTTGAAAAGGAAAAAATAATTGAAAATAATTTTTTTTATTTTTCAAGACAGTAAGTTATGGGTCCTCTGGTAGGTTAGAAGGGCTGGAAATTCTCCTAAAGTTTCAAAACGTCATGAAAAACGTTACTTGATAGTTTCCTTTCCTAACCTTATCAAGTAAGCCAGACGACTCAAGCAGAAAACTGGACAGTACATCACTTTTGTGAACAAATTTAATTTCAAATTACGTCCATTTTTGGCTATAGCACGTAGCGCGTACGAGCGAAAAGTGACGTTAAGAGGACAGGTTGATGAGCGACATCAAATAACGGGTACGACCCGTTCAGTGTAGCTTGGACACCTCAGTGTAATGGTGACTCACAATGTGATATTATCTTCGTAGTTGAGTCATTCATCTTAATCTGGCCATTGCGCCTGAAGATGGTTATATAGAATGTGGGACTTACCGTAGCCCTGATGCTTAGAATGTTAATTACCCAGTGACCACATATATCAGCGGGACGTTAAATCAAAGGTATTGACCTTAGTTCCACATTGATTCCACGTTAATATGACGTTGATTCCATGTTACTCCAGACTATTGTAGTCGCGAGGTATTGTCATACTGAGCATACCTCCAGACTATTGTAGTCGCGAGGTATTGTCATACTGAGCATACCTCCAGACTATTGTAGTCGTGAGGTATTGTCATACTGAGCATACCTCCAGACTATTGTAGTCACGAGGTATTGTCATACTGAGCATACCTCCAGACTATTGTAGTCCCGAGGTATTGTCATACTGAGCATACCTCCAGACTATTATAGTCACGAGGTATTGTCATACTGAGCATACCTCCAGACTATTGTAGCCCCGAGGTATTGTCATACTGAGCATACCTCCAGACTATTGTAGCCCCGAGGTATTGTCACACTGAGCATACTGTAGTGATCAAATGGGTTCATTCAACAAGTATGATCCTGCTACTATATTCATCCTTCAACACGCTATATACTTAAGATTCTACATTAAAAAAAAAAGTATAATCAAAAGATATATATTTGAAATTGTGATGTTTATGTACGTAGAAATTGGGGTTTACTCATTAATGTAACATCTCTTTAAGGCAGTAATGACTCACGTTTCTTAGGATGGCTATATATTGTAAAGAAAAATATACATATTTGTGTTTTATTTAGTTTGAAAAAATGTGTGTATATGTACTGCCTTGGTGAGATGTAGTGCGCTGCATCTGCTAATTATCTTGTGACTGTATTATGTATTATTTTATTTTTTTTGTTGCAAATGCTCCCAATGGGATCCTATTTTCTGTTATTATATTCCCTTGAATAACACACTAAGTTCTACAGTCATAATTCTCAATGCCGAAAGCAAAAATACATTGTAAATAATCATAATAAATACCTTAACTTGATCCATTTTTATTGTTACCCCTGAATACGAAAACTGAAAACTTGTGTTTAACAGAAAACGGGTAAACAGTTTACCAGGAGTATGGCTTTGTGTTGTTGGTCCGTCGTCAAGCATTTGGTTACTGTCTTATATATGCACAACATTATACACCTTGATGTACACCCCTACATGTACTCAACTAGATGTACTCTCCTATATGTACTCTCTTAGATGTACTTTCCTAGATGTACTCACCTACATGAATTAATCTAGATGTATTTGCCTGTATGTGCTTGTTATGGCCCCTATGGACCAGTAACCGGGTTCTCGATGTTATGACTCTTTTTATAGTATCCGACCCCAAGTCGGCAGTATGCTTTCAAGAACTGGTTGTATAGTGCAATAGAAAACGGGGGTATGAACAATACACTATTCCTTTCATAATATATTTACACTTTCACCAATAGAAATATATATTAGATTAAATAGATTATAACTACACGTATATACATTAATGTCACTTTCACGCAAGACACTACTACGTTGGTAGTGTTCAACTGCAGTGTTTCCCTCGCCCTGTACCGTGTACAGTGTTTCCCCTTGCCCTGTACCGTGTACAGTGTTTCCCCTTGCCCTGTACCGTGTACAGTGTTTCCCCTTGCCCTGTACCGTGTACAGTGTTTCCCCTTGCCCTGTACCGTGTACAGTGTTTCCCTCGCCCAGTACCGTGTACAGTGTTTCCCCTCGCCCTGTACCGTGTACAGTGTTTCCCTCGCCCAGTACCGTGTACAGTGTTTACCCTCGCCCAGTACCGTGTACAGTGTTACCCTCGCCCAGTACCGTGTACAGTGTTTCCCTCGCCCAGTACCGTGTACAGTGTTCCCCTCGCCCAGTACCGTGTACAGTGTTTCCCTCGCCCAGTACCGTGTACAGTGTTTCCCCTCGCCCTGTACCGTGTACAGTGTTTCCCTCGCCCAGTACCGTGTACAGTGTTTCCCCTCGCCCAGTACCGTGTACAGTGTTCCCCTCGCCCTGTACCGTGTACAGTGTTTCCCCTCGCCCAGTACCGTGTACAGTGTTTCCCCTCGCCCTGTACCGTGTATTCTTATGAGAAAAATAATTTCCGAGACATAGAAGTTTGTTAAGGCCTTATGGGAGAAATTCAAATAACGTGTGTAGCTCTTTAGGGCTTCCAGGAGAACTCTACGGACATATTTTACATGTTTTCAACTTACAAAATCGTCTATGTAAGCCTTAGTTATTCATATAAATTTAGAAAATCACCTGTGCGGGTCAGGGGTTTCAGGGGTCTCGTACATCACACCCCCCTCCCCCTTACCTCGCAATCTCTCGCGTCACCTTTATTTACTTTACGCCCGGGCAGCCAGACATCGCATACAGGGTACCTCTTATCTTATCTTATCCATAATATCTGGACCGTCCCTCCTCTCTCTCTCTCTCCTTTCATTCAGTTCAGTTCAACTATTTTCCAACATCGTATGTTTTCTCCTTTTCATTAAGCAAGTCAGTTTTACACAAATAAATCATGTTAGTAAGCAAGTTCTAGCTCACGTTCCCCCCACCTTAGTCCCCTGTCATATAATGAATACTATCATTCCAATCCCTCTAAAATTTAAAAATAATCATATTTCAAACATAGTTCAATACAGTAATTTAGTTACCAAGCTCCAGCGCTTGTCCTCCGCCTTAGCTCTCTCTCGTATCTTCGTTAGTAACAGTCCAATTTCCCTGAAATTTTTACCCTCTGTATTTCAGGCACCGTAAATAAGATCAAAACAGTTACCAAGCTCCAGTGCTTGTCCTCCGCCTTAGCTCTCTCTCGTATCTTCGTTAGTATCAGTCCAATTTCCCTGAAATTTTTACCCCCTGTATTTCAGGCTCCGTAAATAAGATCAAAACAGTTATCGAGCTCCAGCGCTTATCCCCCACCTTAGTTCGTTTATACAAGATCGTTAGTAACAGTCCAATTTCCCTGAAATTTTTACCCTCTGTATTTCAGACACCGTAAATAAAATCAAGTCAGTTATCGAGCTCCAGCTCTCGTCCCCGCCTTAGTTCTCCTTCGTATCTTTGTAAATAACCCATCAATTTCCCTAAAATTTAAAGCAGACATACTTCAAAGTTAGTAAATAAAATCAAGTTAGTTATAGAGCTCAAGCTCTCGTCCCCGCCTTAGTTCTCTTTCATATCTTTGTAAATAAACCATCAATTTCCCTGAAATTTTTACCCGCTGTATTTCAGACATAGTAAATAAGAAGTAAACAATTATAAAACTCTAGCTTTTGTCCTTTGTCCAAGCTCACTTTTGTAAATTCATTACTCTCAGTCCAAATCACCCAACTACATTTTCAGACATAGTAAATAAAAACCAGTTCAGTTATCAAGTTTCAACTCTTGTGCCCCAGCTTAGTTCATTTTGTACAAGTTCTTTATTTTCCAACTAAATCACCCTGAGATTTAAGATCACCTTATTTCTAACGTAGTAAAAATAATCTGGACATTAGCCAAGCTCCATTTCCTCAGCCTTAAATCATCAGACATAAATATATTCGATCAAGTCCGTCTCCAGCCTAACTCTTATCCGAGTACACACATAACCCCAACCTGTGTAATTATCTTTCACCCCCTCCCACCTTCCTCCATCTCATCTCATCTCACCTTACCCTTTCCCTCCCTTACCTTCTCATCCCCAACTTATCCAAACCTTCAATAATCGTACTGTATTTGCATATTTTCTCTATATTCAGCTATGTTCTTCACTATTTGTCCATTTTTTCTGTGTTCACTCCATGTTCTTCAAATGTTCACAGTCCCATTCAGTTCATATTTTCACAAGTATCTCCATTTTTTCTGTAATCTTTCTCTTAGTCTCATTACTTTCTCTACAAATTCTAGTCATATTTTCTATGTTTTCATGTTCATCACATGTTCTCTTTACAACTTTTATACTCAATATTCATGCTAACTTCCATATTTTGTGTTCTTTGTCAATATTCATGTTCCTCTACAAGTTCATGTTCCTCACAAGATCACTTCGTTTTTCACCTTCACTTACATGTTTTCTACATTCTTTGTCATATTCTCCATGTTCTTCACAAGTCCATTGTTCATTCTTTGTATTCCCTATTCTCCTTATCATGTTTTCATGTTCTCTGTAAGTTCATATTCCCAGCATGTTCACTGTATTCATCAACTTTTCTTACATGTGTTCTTTGCCATGTTCCCCATATGTTCTCTGGGTTTTCCCCTTACATGTTATTTAACGTTCCTTAACTAAAAAAATCTTTCGCCAATCAACTGAAACATAGTCACTTTCCTCATTTCTCAACTTATTATCCAATCAACCAAAAATTATCAAAGGAATCTTTCCAACACTGTTCATAACTAAACTTATTCCCTAGTCATCAGAAAATAACCGTGTTCTTCATGTTTCATTGTCATTTCATAACTAAAAAAATCTTTCGCCAATCAACTAAAACATAGTCACTTTCCTCATTTCTCAACTAAACTTATTATCCAGTCAACTAAAAATAGTCAGAAATAGCCTCGTTCAACACTGTTCTTAACTAAAACAACCTTTCTCTTAGCTAAAAATTGTCAAAGGAAACTTCTTTCAGCACTTTCTTAACAGCCGCTATGTTTCATCAAGAAAAATTGTCAAAGGAAACTTTCCAAAACTGTTCATAACTAGCTTTTATCCATCGTCAATCAACTAAAAATAATAACTTTCATCATTTCTTAACTAAACTTATTCCCCAGTCATCAGAAAAATAACCATGTTCTTCATGTTTCATTGTCATTTCATAACTAAAATTATCCATCAATCAACAGAAAAAGCCATGTTCATCATGTTTTGTCTTTTTGCTTAACTAAAATTATATTTTGTCAAGTAAGAAAAATAACCAAAGATATCTTTCATCGCTGTTCTTAACTGACATTATACTTTGGGGGAGCACAAAAATAGTCTCCCTCGTCATGTTTTCTCTTTTTCCTTAACTAAAGTATTCATCAGTCAACTAAAAATAGTTACTTCATCATGTTTCCTTGTCATTTCTTAACTGAAATATCACTTCTCTCATCTGAAAATAGTCAGGATTAACCTCATTCAACACTGTTCTTAACTAAAACAACCTTTCGCTTAGCTAAAATAGTCATATTCGTCATTGTTCCTAACTAAAATTATATGTCGTTAAGTAAGAAATATAGTCAAAGACTCTCTTCGAGACATCAAAGACATCCTTTAAGACTTCAATGGGACTCTTCGAGATATCAAAAGACACTCTCAAACACTCAAAAATTTACTTGCATCCTCAAAGTTATTCTCAGAGGCATAAAAGTAATTCTCAGAGCTATCAAACTTGTTCTCAAAGTCATCAAAGTTATTCACAGAGTCATCAAAGTTAATCTAAGACATCATTTTTCATCAAAGATATTCTCTCTAAACCATCAATGTTCTTCTCTAAGACATAAAAGTTATTCTCTATGTCATCAAAAAGTTGTTCTCTGAGCTAACAAAATACTACTCTTGTTCTCAAAGACATTCTCCAATTCGTCAATGTTGTTTCAAAGACATCAAAGTTAATCTCAGAGTTATCCAAAGACATTCTCAAAGTCATCTAAAGTTATTCTCTAAGACATCAAAGTTATTCTAAGAGTTATCAAAAGTTATTCGCAGTCATGTTATGTTATTCTCTAACTCACTTCCATTCATCAAAGACATTCTCTAAGCCCTCAAAGTTATTCTCTAAGACAGCAAAGTCATTCCCAGAGTCATCAAAAAGTTATTCTTCGAAACATAAAATTTGCTCTGTAAGATATCTTTGTTCATCCAAGTTGTTCTCTAAGACATCAATCTTGTTCTCTAAGACATCAAAGATGTTCTCTAAATCATAAAAGTTAATCTCTAAGTATCTTTTCGTTCATCAGAGAAGCTTTCTAAGACATCTTTGTTCATCCAAGTTGTTCTCTAAGACATCAATCTTGTTCTCTAAGACATCAAAG